AACCCTAAACGCAAGTGAACTACAACGAAAACTAACCTGGGGTGTTGCGAGTTGTCGCGCGGGGACTTCAGGGAAAGAAGACGAACTTGCCGTCGCCGGGATAATACACGCGAAGATGATTCAGGTGGAAGGAGGAGTCGGGCGTAGTATGAGAATCTTTTTTGTTAATCTAAAATTAATTTATTATACTATAAACGAACTTTTAATTGCAATAAAGACCTAATAAAATCTTTTTTCTCCTTATGTCTATTCGTTTTTCTCCAACAATCCTAAAATTTTTCAGCGGCAACGGCAATTCCACTAGTTTTGATTCTACCAATTTGCAACTATAAGTGCAGAAAGAACATTTTCAGCTTTGAGTTATATTAACTTATTAAGAACAAGTTTTGAAGTCGAATTGGCGACCAGTTTGCTAATGATTATTTAGTGCGATACATTAAAAGAGGCTTACTTGACATTGTAGACAACTAATGTTTTGTGTTTTTTTCACAATATAAAATTCCGTCGTGGTTGCTTATGAAAATAGTGATTTTATTAGTCAATTATTTTTTATATGTGAATGAATTATTTGGATATAATTAGTTTTAATTTTATTTATTAAATAATTATTAATTAAATATTTATATATTTATATTATGAAAAGAAAACAGGAATAGTTTCAAATCCTGCCTCCGCCATGGCGCCTATAATTATCTGGCCTTCTTTTTGATTCTATGCTTGGGTTTTGGCGGGACAAATCAATTGCTCAATTCATTGTTTGGTAGCATTCGTGACTTGCGGAGTTGGAGAGAAGATGCAGGGCAAAGAAGGAGGTGAGGTGAGGTGTCTCCAATAGCCTCTTTCGTCGTTCTGTTTTTTCCTTTTTATTTTGTCGAACAAAAAATAAAAAATCAACGCTTTTAACACAATAAATAAAAAATAGAAATCGATTGCAACATTCTCATTTATAATATTAATTAATTAATAGCAATTTACGAGTTGGACAATTAAATAAGGAGTCACTTATATACGCTTCTCATTATCATTCTATGCCAGCTGTTGCCACCATGTGTACTCAATTTTTTTTTTCCAAACTACATGTGATTAGTTTATTATAATGGGAGTTAGAGTACAACTGAAGGATGGCTCTTGCCTCGGTTAAATAACATTTTCCCTTTTTTAGAGAACATAAAACAATTTACTTGTTATTTAAATCATAAACGGAGTCGGAATTATAATAATTATATCCTTTAATTGGAGGCACATATGTGTTTTGCGGGGACAATCCTATTTGATGGTATTTCAATTAAAATCAACGGATTGTTTTTCTATTTTTCATACAAGGTTTTTCGTTTAAATAATAGTAGGACAAATATTAGCGACAATAAGAGTAGCCTCTAAAATTATTTATATAGCGGCAGAATATTTTCAGCCTCCAAAATTATTAAATATAATTATAATAATAAAATTCATTTTTCGTATATAACAAGGCAAAACTTTAAAAGATAGTTACACAAAATGTGCCGCTTTATGAAAGATTTTAATAAAGTTAAAACAAATTATAAAAAGATAATCATTTTAGAGGCACATAATTTTATTTTTAGAGGCAAATGCGGCAAAAGGAAGGAAAATACATGAACCGACCCCATCGTCTCCACCCCGTATGAACTACGAGATCACCCCAGGGACGCCTTCGGCATTCAGGGTTCACAGACCGACCATAGAACCCTGTTCAATAATTAAGTGGAACGCATTAGCTGTCCGCTCTCAGGTTGGGCAGTAAGGCTCGGAGAAATGCAATTGCTCATTCTTAAAACTAGTATTCTTAAGACCAAAGAGTGGAGAGGAAAAAAGGAGTTGGGGGGAAGATCTCCATTCCTGGTTTTCTTGTAGCTGGATCCTCCGGAACCACAAGAATCCTTAGTTAGAATGTGATTCCAACTCAGCACCGTGTAAAATGTATTTAAGGAGACAATTACTTTATGTGCCGCCAATGTTTGCCGCTAAAGGTGATTTTTCTTGTACTGTAGCCATCATAAATAAAAAGAAGATTTTTTTCTTCTCAAATTGTCGATGCCTTGGTTTAAATTTGACTTGAAATAACGATTTAATTTCCTCCAACATCTCATGAAACCAATATTATTTTTCTTTTTCAAGACTAGAAACTTAAGGGATTCTAGTAAAAGCAAACCCTTATTCCTATTGCTGAAAGTGATTTATTATATCTCCATCTCATGCATATGATATTTCTTTGGAATATATTCTTATAGGGTAAATGCCACATTTGGTCACTAAGATTACTAAATCATGTCATATTTAGTAATTAGAAAAATTTAATATCAATTTTGGTCACTCGAATTACTGAAACAGGTCACATTTGGTCACTCTCCTGTAGCCTCTGACCAACTCCGGTCACCTGAATTATTGAAACATGTCATATTTAGTCACTCGGATTACTGAAACATGTCACATTTAGTCACTCTCCCAAAAGTTTCCGTCTAACTACATTAATGGACTTGGACGGAAACTAACGGGAGAGTGACTAAATGTGACCAGTTTCGATAATTTGAGTGACCAAAATTGATATTAAATTTTTCTAGTGACTAAACATGACCCAATTTAGTAATCTCAGTGACCAAATGTGGCATTTATCCCTATTCTTATATTTATGAATCATAATATATACATGCCTCACAAATAAGTTCTTATTCACGAGTTGCATGTTTTGTTTTGGATCACCGTTAACTTATTTTAATTTCGTTGTATTTTATAGAAATAGTGTGGGAACTTTTGTAATACGTCTGAATGTCTGATTGGTTTTGCTTGCTTGCCGTTATTCTTTATTTCATTTATCTACCTACAGTACAAAAAGGCGAAAAAAATTTATCCAATTATTATTTTTAAAGTATGAAATAGTGATGGCAAACTGCTGGAGTGGGTGGCTATCTCAATACCTTTACACGCCATGACCAAACAGGAATCGATTCACATTTTAATTGGGTTGAAATATGACCTTTTGTTTTGCATTGTAGTTGGAGCCCACATGTCATATTTTTATATGGTGCACACAATTAACCATTTAGATAATTTTTTTGTATTTCTAATATACGTATAAATATACATTTAGTAATATCGTAACGAAACTTACAAAATGTTACACATATATATATATATATATAACCTATTCTACGTAAGCATGCATAATAATGTTTATTATTGGTGACAGGATTCTTAATTTCTTATCACACAAGTATGCTTTATCCTGCAAGTATTAAGATTACCGTAACAGTAAGAATTGATAATTTACCATAAACATATTATTAGCTTAGGGCTAGATTAGTAAATTATAGCTTTAAGTCATTAAGGTTTAGGGGTTCAAAGTAATTTCAATTTAATCATCTCTTCTTCGTCGTCCAAACCTCTCTAAATTCCTAATTCACATCTATTTTGTTTTATTCTAATCCTCTAACTCTCGCTTAAATCACTCTTAATCGTCTTATTATCCTATCTTCTCTCATGTGCAACTCCACTCTCTGCTCTTATATTAAAATTTCACCTCGCTTAAAGCCCATACGAAGCATTGCAAAAAAATAATGAAAGAGCTAATTCCCATGACAAATCGAACGATCAAAAAATAAAACACTCGCCGACACTAGCTATTAGTTCATTAGCTTAACAATGCTTACATGACAGAATATGGCTTAATTTAATGATAAGAAAATGATAATAAAATTTTGGAGGGGAAGCAAGTAGCTATGATGAGTATTATAATTTGGGTTTTTTTTGGAAGTGGTGAGTTGGTGGAGAAGATTTTGGGGCATCATTTTATTTTTTAAGTATCATGTCATTTATTTAAAGGTCAACGACTAAATGGGAGTTCAAAATTAACAAATAATAATACAATTAAAATATTTTAGTAACAAACGTAAATAAAATGATAAATTCAATATAAGTGAAGTTTTGATTAACTCCACAACATTACATACCTAATGAGCAAAGCTTTCACCGGAAAAGAACCCACCAAGCACCAACCACTACCCGCTTGGAAGCCGCCATTCCCAATCTCGATCGATCCACCAAAGAGCTCCATCGATGAGGCCCATGAGGGTTTCTAAAAGGGGAAGGGAGAATTAATCCTCAATGAAGCTTTGGCTGCCAAGAATGCAGCCAACGTCGGTTGCGAAGCCCACTAATTATTAATGTCGATAGTCTATTCGCCGCATGCATAGGGCTTAAACCAGTATTGATGGAGCGGTAATCAAGGAAATGACAAAGAAATTTTTTCCACGGCTTCCATTTTGTTGATTAGGTCTTAGTGGAAAACGGGCAAGTTTTTAATAAAATTCATACAGATATATTCGCCGATTACAAAAATAGTAACACTCATTGTCAATCTAAAATTGGTCAACACGGGGTTCAACTCATTTTGACGAGTTTGAATTGGGTTGAAGACCCATCAATAGGTTGGCTCAGTTTTCATAAAATAAAATAAAAATTTAAATGTTAGTAAAAAGTTTTGATTAAGCAGATGGATTTTTCTACTTTCAACTTAATAATTCTAATAATAATTTGTCCAACAAGTATTAGAAGTTTTTTTAATAATGGTGATAGCAAGTTTTTTTATTTACGCAAGTATAATGATTATATTAAAACTAATCCTAGTGGGTCCAATGGCATTCGATCCCTAGGTTGCTGGAAAATAATCCGATTCCATTTTAGAATCAGGAATTCCTCTATCCAATCTAGTTTGCTCTACCGATAGCTACACGACGTTAAAATAAACAAAAAGCTATACGTATAGCTACACGTTTGAGAAACAACTAACCAAAACCCTAAAGTAAAAGTCATTAATTCCACACTATAAGTACCAACATAGATGTGATCAGTCTCCCAAAAACCTCCATTTACTTACTAGTTAACTTTGTAGAGAGCGACTACTACACCATATATTCTCTTTCGGACCCATCCTTCTAGGCCTAGCGAGTTCATTCTTCCTCGTGTTTGGTTATTTGTGCACCACGATGAAGGGTCGCCGCGGTGCATTGTTCGATGGGTTGCTCTTCTTCTCGATGATCATGTTGTTTGCGTTGACGGTGCATTCAGCTGGTTCGTCGTCTCTCAAGGTGGGCTTCTACAGACGATCATGTCCAGCCGCCGAATACATTGTGAGAAGAACTGTGAGAAGGGCGGTGTCTCAGAGTCCCGGTATTGGGGCTGGACTAATCAGGTTGCATTTCCATGATTGCTTCGTCCGGGGTTGTGATGGATCGGTGTTGGTGAAATCCCTCCCAGGTGGCCCGAAATCAGAGAGATCACCCGGCCAACAACCCCGGGTTGAGAGGGTTAAACGTAATCGCGAGAGCCAAAAGAGAATCGAACGCATCTGCCCCAACACCGTCTCCTGCTCCGTCATCCTCGCGTTTGCCGCCAGGGACAGCTCGCAGATACTCGGAAGCATCAACTACCCCGTCCCTAGTGGTCGCCGCGATGGCCTCGTCTCCAGCTTCAACAAACCTCCCTTCCCTGAGACTCACCGCCGAACAGCTCATTCAAAACTTCGCCCGAAAAGGGTTGTCGGCCGACGAGATGGTCACGCTCTCCGGTGCGCATTCCATTGGTAGGGCCCGCTGCTCGTCGTTTTCGGACCGGCTTTACAACTTCAATGGAACGCAAGCTCAAGACCCGTACCTGGACCGGAACTACGCGGCGGCTACGTGTCCCGTGAACGGAGGCAGTGATCCGACGGTGGCGATGGACCCGGCGACGCCCAATCGGCTGGACAACAGGTACTACGCCGAGCTGAGAGCGGGGCGGGGGTTCCTGACGACGGACCAGACGTTTGCGGAGAGCCCGGCGACAAGGGGGTACGTGGATGTGAACGCGAGGTACGGTGTGGCGTGGGCTGGCAAGTTCGCTAGGGGGATGGGTTCCATTGATGTTCTGACTGGGAATCAGGGCGAGATTAGAAGGAGGTGCAGCATGGTTAATTAGGAGCTAGCTATTCATAAATGATAGATTATCACTTTTCTTTCTCGTTGTTCAACTAATTCAGTACTTATTTTTCGTAATGTAATCATCATTTTTATCCAGAATCATGGTTTGATTGGTGAGTAGCTTGTAATTAATCATTCTTCTTTAAATCACTCATGGAAAACAACAAGACTTTCTCATTATTGTCCCTGCATAAACACTAGCTACTGGCTAATTGGCTACACATATATCAGTTATCGTTGTGTTTACATCATAAAATTTGTCTTGTACTAAATTGGTGAGTTACAAGATAATCAATGAGTTTATAAGGCCACATTAATTATAACAATTAATGATATTTAAGTTGGACCTCATGAATATTGATTTTAAGTCCAAGCCACTTAGTGATTAATGAGCATGAACATGATTCAATGAGGGACATGTGTCTCAACCCCCAGGGGGTTGTGAGATTATCCACCCACTTCCTAGCCATCTCTTATGTCTCTTTCTTCTTTTTTCAAATTGATGGTTAGTATTACAAAAAGGTATTTTTGGAATGAAAAAAATATTACCACACATGATCCTTTCTCATTTCTATATAATCTATTTTCACTAAAAAAAATAACTCTCCCCCCTCACACACGTCCTCTCTCCCCTCTCTTCCCTCTCCCCAAAACCCGAGCCGCCTCCTCCCCCTCCGTCTTTCCATGTCGTCGCCACCTCCATCTCTTCCTCCTGCCGAAGCCGTCGCGCCCTCCGCCTCCCATCATTGCCGCACCCTCCGCTACTAGTGGTAGTGGTAGCGTACCACTACCACTGGTACCATACCACTAGACGAAAATCAGTACCACTAGCGCACCGACGGAGTGGTTTTTTTGCATATCGCCGGAGCGACTCTGATTGGAGGATTTCACCAGGAAAAAGCCTGCTGGTTGGAGAAAGTTTGGCGATCGGAGCGAAGAGATTGCGGCCTGAGTTCAGGTCCTTAAAGCCTATTCTTTAAGGAGAAACTTAAAGCAATCCTATTGGTTGCTGAGTTTTTAGTTAGTTATTAGGAAGTTATAAGTTAATTAGTTAGTAAGGGTATTTATGGAATAATAATTAATATTAAAATATAATAATTAACCCTAATAACCTATTTGCCCACGTATTCATTCGTACCCAGCCGTACCGCAAGTCTCCTCAAATTCCGTCGCTGCCTTTCGTTTCCCTCGTCGTTTGTCCCTTAATCACGATCCCGGCGTTCGTCACTCTCGTTTGTGCGGCCGGCGTTTCTCTATCGTAGTTGTCCATCGTTTCGGTTGTCAAGTTCCTCCTTGCCGTCGAGTTCACTAACAGCAGCGTCGCTCCCGTCCTTTCCCCTTTGCCGTCGTCGGCCCACTAGCCTGTCGCTTGCCTGAGTTCCCTCAACAGCAAGCTCCTTAGTTCTGTCAACATCGACTTCACCCCGGATTTTGGCGTCGCTCTCGTCCGGCGGCAATTCCTTCCTGTCCCATTCCCCTCTTGCGTCGGTCCCTTCCGTCGTGTCTTCCTTCCGTCGTCGGTATTATCATCTCTTAACTCTTAAGTGACATCGTTGTTGGTATAATTTTCACCCAAAAAAAATCGTTGTTGGTATAATGGTATTCTCTTGTCTTATTATTAATTATTAATGATATTTGACCAGTTTTTTAAGAATGTCATATGGCATTATTAACCTTTTTTGCTATCAACTATTATTTCATTATTAACGTTAGTATTGTGTTTATTAAAGTTTCTATACAACTATAAAGTTTCTATGCAAACCATGATTACAGTTTCTATACAATCACTATTCTACGTTTGATGAATAAGCCTTATCAATCTTTGACATATAAGATATTAATAATGTCTAATAACGTTAATAACCATTAGTTTTCATTGCTATCAAAGTTTTTTGTTGCGTTTCCAATGAAAGTACTCATGTTAGTTATTAACCGTTGTGTGGTAGTAGCATTATTAATGTCTTTTAAGGGAGCTATCATTGTTTCCGAAGAGAGTTATCAACAATTTGTTTTAACATTATTAACCACTAGGCCGCATCATTATCAATGATTCTGCTTGCATTTTCTACAAAACACATATATGTCATTAATTGTTTATATTATGTTTGTCAACGTTTTTTATGGAGATTTTATCTTTTTGTAGGTTAACAACATGACACAAACTAAGAATACGTCACTTAAGACTATTCCTCCTATAAACCAACCTAAGAGTGCGAGCAACCGAAGCAGAGAGCAATAATGATGATAGGCTCAGTCCCATGTGCAATATGTCCCTAGTGTTGAAGATGGTAAAAAATATGAGTCCCCAACGTGCTATGTGAGGTACATCCACAAGCATCGTACTATTTGTTGGTTGATGATGTAGAGCATTCGAGAACCCACTCTAAATATATATATGCGAGTTTTGTAATGTTTGTTATTTTCTAATGACCGTGAGTTTAATAACCTCCCCATTGTTAAGGTACTTTATTATTAATGTTATTAACATGTTTTGCTCCGTTTTAATGATTTTGATCATATTTTCATAACTTAAACCCATATTATTATAAATTTAGACTTCATTATTAATCTTTTTTGGGGCAGTTGTTAATTATAAATTTATCCGTAATAATGGTTGGATAGAGGCTTCATTCTTAACGATTTTCACCCCACTATCAATGAAAAATAATCATTAGTAACGTCTCTATTATCGGCTTTTTGATACTAAAAATAAAGAGAACACCGTTATGAGCGATACTTTTGTTCCACCCACCTCAAAAACATTTTCCAATTACATGTTAAAAATCCAAGATAACGTTTTCAACTTTTATAATATGATTTTTCAACGATATACAAAAACATTACCACCGTTTTCTTATGTTAAAATGTTAATAATTGAAACAATTTTTGTTAATAATGTTATTGAATTGCAATCATAAGTCAAACAAATAATATAATAATAAAATATTAATGATTACATATTAAATCATTAATAACAAATGTTTCGTTAATAATGACATACTAGAACATTGTCATTCGAGTAAAAAGCATTGATACATATAACGTTAACAAAACCTCTAAAATTATTACTACTTTCACATTATAAAGTTGATAATGACTACCACTCACTATTCACACCAAATTACGAATAACTACGTTGTGATTATTAACAAAATACTGTCACTTTTCAACGGGAGTCTAAGAGCTTTAATGATGATGGTCGGGTGTGCTAGCAGGATGGTGGCGTCGCAGAAAGTAGCGTCATCGGGATGTTGGAGATACGGGAACTGTAGCGTCATCGGGATGTTTGTCATCCACAAGACGGTGGTCGTGGAGTAGTGGCGCCGCAAGTGCACAGGTGTCGTCGGAAAATGGGCTAGCGGACCACCGAAGAGGCTGGGGATGTCGGAGCACTTGACGGCGGTTGCGTCGTCCACCGCTCGCCAGCTACGAAGGAAGGAGACAAGGCGGGGACGGAGCGATTGGGATCTACAACGGCGGAGAGGATGGCGACGGTGGAAAGTTTTAGATTTGGGAGGAGAATAAATTTTTGAAAATAGTAAATGGCGCCCGTTATGTGTCGTGGGATTAATTCCCTGTTTTTCATTTTTATTACTAATTTTATATTATATCTCATTTTTACCCTTGTAGGTAGTTAGCCAATGATTAATTATAATTATCTCTCTCCTCTTCCTATTGGTTGGCAAAAGTTTAAGATTCTTCTTAAGAAACATGGCTTAAGGACTGGATCTAACCCGAGAGATCGCTGGAAAAGGAAGAGAGAGATGGAGAGAGATATATAAATGTATTAATTTTAGGATTTAGATTTAAGGAAAAACGTGTATTTAATATGAGTTTTCAATTCCCATGGTGTAATTAATACAAAAACTTAATTAATAAATTCTATTTTTTTGTCATACCCAAATTGCCCTTGGATGTGAAACTCACATCCCCTCAAGGGAAGTGACGCTATCCCATCCCCATGTCGTGCCACAAGATGGCACAAACATATTCAAAGTCTGGAGAGTGACGTGCCGCTTCAACGAGTAGGACCATGTCCATCTAGAATTTAGAAGCACATGCCATCTCAAGGAAGATATCATGGACGTGATCATGGCCCCTTCCGATGTACAAAAATGTTCTAAGACCGGAGAAGTATGTGCCGCTTCAATGAGAAGGGCCATGGATGCTAACAAGAGACAACACATGCCGACCCACGCCAAGACCGAATGATTGAAAATATTCTAAGTCTGAAAGAAGTACATGCTCCTTCAAGGAGAAGCACGTGTCGCTTCACGAGAAGGGGCATGAATGCGAGACAAGATGAGACGTCCATGCCGAGTGAGGAGAATGAGCATGGATGCGAGAGAAGAGGCACACGCAATGATTGAAAAAACTTAGTATGAGAAGGCCATGCCGCCTTAAGAGAAGAGTCATGTCCATGATTGGGAGGTCCACGAACGTGTCACGAGAGGGGCTATGGACACGAGGAAGAAGTCCTGCTGCGAATCACACTTCAAAGAAAACAAAAATATTCTAATTCTGGAGAATGAACACTACGAGAAAACCAACCTATAGAGGCAAGTAAATAGAAACAGTTAATGTATTGGTATCTATAACTAAGTTTTCGGGCCAGAAATATTATTTGTTTCAATAGGAGAAATTATTTGTCTCTATAGGTAAATCTAATAGCCTTTAGAAACAAATACAAATGTTACTTATAGTATATCATATAGAGGCAAATCTTATAGTATTTAGAGGCAAATATAAATGCCACTTATAATCATGTCATATAGAGAAAAATTCCTTAGTCTTTAGAAGCAAATATAAATGTTCCTTATATCTATTTCATATAGAGGCAAATATAATAGTATTTAGAGACAAATACAAATGTCTCTTATAGACATCTCTCTATAATCGTGACTGTTCATTCAAGCAACCATCATCTCAACCTTTCTGAACCAACCTTCCAAGACATTGAAAGGCCTTTGATTCGAGGGACGATGACATCGACGACGG